CACAAAGGATAAATTTGCTACACACTTTAAGGGCATTTGCCTATTGATAAGGGCATTAAACGTTTTCACGTATTATTTTTAACTGTTGGAAAAACCTTTACTATGATAATGACTCATAGAAACCAGTATTACAGTTCTTTGTACTTAAAATTTAAAATTAAGCAGCTTTAATTTATTTTGCTTGATGCTGCTCGCTGTGACTACCCCAAGATCCGCTACTACAACAGTGGCGTGAACGAACATTCATCGACAGTATCACAGAATAGAGAACATACAGTAGGGCCAGCTCATTAAATTTTTCGTGCCACGTATATCTTATTACGCATGTGATTACCATATTGGCAGCCAGTAAAATGCATTGTGTGACCCATAGAATTGATGATACTGCAAACGGTAGCCAGTAAATTAAATAAATATACAGCAGCCAGTTGCACAGCGAAATAGCCCTACTGTATATTCCTATATTGTGACAGTATAAACGGTTAATATGGAGCTGACAATATTCATAATAATACCTTTTGTAAATAATTACAAAAGAATTTGACAGTATACAATATGTAATTTTACATAATATTATGATTTGACATCATAGTGTTTGAATAACCTGCTGCAGACCTTGAGACTAAGCGAGAGGTTATGATCAGTTGCGTATCTAGAACGTTGAACCTTGGAAGTTCTATGTTTGTAAATTCAGGCGTCCCTGACTGATTTATTTTGAAAGTGTATTTGCGGGGGAGGTACACTTCTAGGGAATTCGCCTGTTGTTAAGGGCAGTAAGCGTTTTCACGTATTATTTTTAACTGTTGGAAAAATATTTACTATGATAATGACTCATAGAAACCAGTATTACAGTTCTTTGTATTTAAAATTTTGAAAAATGACATAATCTGCGTTCTTAGAATTTAAAATTAAGCAGCTTTATTTTATTTTGGCTTGCTGCTGCTCGCTGTGACTACCCCTAGATCCGCTACTACAACAAATAAAGAAAGTAAGGAGGTAAACTTTCAGAATTTTTAGCTTTAAACATTAGTTTTTTAAGCTGCATACTTCATAAAATAAATTGAATATTTACTTTCAATATAAACTATGAATATACTCAAAGCTTCATTGACTTTGACCACAATGAGTTTCTATACAACATGTTTGATAATTAGAACGGCTGCTGAGAGAAAACGTTCATGTTGACTTTATTGCTTTACGTTTGCCGATAAGAAATTTACAAAGAAGGCTCTAGCACAAAACCTTAACGTCATTAAACCATACACTTTAACCTACAGATTAAAAAGCGTGTGACAAAAGATTTCTTGAGGGAGAGTGGCGTGAACGAACATTCATCAACAGTATCACAGTATAGAGAAAATACAGTAGGACCAGTCCATTTAATTTTTACGTGCCACGTATATCTTATTACGCATGTGATTACCATATTGGCAGCCAGTAAATTGCATTGTGTGACCAATACGATCGATATGAAAACGGCAGCCTGTAAACGAATTAAATATACAGCAGCCAGTTGCACAGCGAAGTGGCCCTACTGTTTAGTCCTATAATGTGACATTAATAAGGATTAATATGGAGCTGACAATATTCATAACAATACCTTATGTAAATAATTACAAAAGGATTTGACAGTATACAATATGTAATTTTACATAATATTATGATTTAATTATAATGAATCACGATATGTTCACATGATGAATAATTTTTATATTTACATGTATTGTTGAAAGTCCTGTCACAACTTTAATGATAGTGTTTTGTTAACTTTGTCGTCATTGCTTAAAATTTATTATACGCAGAGTTAATGAATCGCTAATTATTTGCATAGTTTGATATAACAGTACAAATGAAATTACACAAGAATATAGACCACATTAGTTTTGAAATTACCATAAATGCAATACTATCATTTGTGTGACGCAGTAGTTACATAATCACGCATTTCATTATTTCGTGACGCACGCGCGAGAAACCGTAATAGCAAGTATTTTATTGGTTTTTGGACTTGGCGTTGCCAACACGCGTGGAATTTTCTGATGATAGAGTATAACAAGATCCTGTTTTCTTTGCTTTTATCATTTCCGTTACATAGTGAGTTGTAAAAGAAGCCTGTATTTGGTAAAGAATTTCAAGTCCCACCTATTCCTTAACGTACAGACAAAAAGGATCGGACGTAAGTGAGAGAAATTGTTTCTTATTTTCTTGATTTGTACTTGTGCTTTTATGAAATTTACTAAATAAAACAACAATATTTACCAAATATTGGGAAATACTATAAATGTAGCTAATAAATAAACCAAGAAACTAAAGCAAAGAGTGATTTTGTTCAAGTTGAGAGTGTGAACCTTGCACGTAATTCGATAAATATTTCCATACATGTTGTCAGCGTAAACTCTTGTTTCACATCTTCACATTTTCATGGTGACGTTGCTTTGCCACGACTTTATTTAAATCACATTTTGAATTTACACGTGGCGTAATAAATATAGGTGAAAGCTCATAACCTGAATACATCTAAAATCACGATGTTTGCAACTATTTTATGAAGGATATCAAATCATTTAACAGTAAGATTCTTTTCATAGTAATTTAAGAGTAGCATAGATATTTGTTATATGTTCACTTTTAATTGCTGAAACTAATACATTTTTGTGGATGATGAATAATTATAGCTAATTAAACACATGATTCTGAAGACAACTTTTGTATCAGAACTTCTTGCACTCTGTACACTACTTCTAATGTTACTGAAAAGTTATGAAAGTTTAATAATTCTACGGCATTTCATGTTATTTTCAATTTGTGAATTTAAGATTTATAAAATTATACGCAGTGGGAGTCTGTTCAAAATCATTCAAGAATAGCGTAGATATTTGTAGCATGCTCCTTCAACTTGGGGTAGCGAAGCTGTCAAAAAAGACCCTTTGTTAGAATTCTTCAGGGAATTTATTGAGAAATGTTAGCAGTTCAGTTGCTTAAAATCGGTCCTCTTCTAGATAAACAGTATATTAAATCTGCACAAAGTGTAGATTTGTGTGATAATCTACACATATGCACAGTAATTACGCATTCAGTACTTGTTTCATCCTCATCAACCAGTTAGAAAGAGGTGGCAACATCAAGGTAAATGATGTCAACAAACAATGAAGGCATGGACTCATATGAACATTCAGACAATTGATTTGTGAGCTTTTCACTCTCAAGAACATTGTGTGCATCATCGTGAGGTTTCTCGGGTAAATCCAAAGGTACATGACGTCCTCATCAGGAGTACAAACGGATTGACCATCTGCCTTGTTCAAAGTGTTTGATCGCCTCTTTTTTTCTCTGTAACTAAAAATCCACAGTGCTAGATTTAATTTGATATATAAATAAATATTTTCAGTTCGCTAAAAGTTAGTTAATTTTATTGCTGAATACGGTCCTAATGTGTGAACTTTTCAAGTGGCCATGTTAATAACTTGTGACGTCATCAGTAAAACACGTTTTCACAGAATAAAATTATACAGAAGGGCCACTCAAGTGAGCACTGCATCCTCACGGCCGCCATCATTCTAGCAAGATACTTTGGTTTTCACTTGTTTTCAACCACTGTAATTACATGACGTCATTTTTCACAATGAAATGGAAATAATTTCAATATAAGAAATGACGTCGTGTCATTTAAGTGGTTTGGAACAAGTGAAAAGTCCTATCTTACTGGAATAATGGCTGCCGATATGCGCGGACAACATACGCGAGGACAAAACATCAAAGGGTCCGACACGAGTAACCTTTTGTATATTCCATATTCAGTGACGTTTGGTTTGCAAACTACAGATTTTTATAACTGACGCCCATTTGTCTTCGTTATTTTTAATTATTTGCTTGAATTCACAATATTCTAAAATAGGTATTTTAGAAACAGATCATAGGTATTTTAGGATATCGTATAACTAAATCAATGTACGTTATGTGACTTAAGCTTTTCAAGATTTTTTTAAGCTTTTACAAAATTTATTAAAAGTCGTGCTATGAAAACGAAACCCATTAGTTACCCTGATCGAACTGATTTTGAAAATTCTTCAAAATAATCCTAATATCTTCCGGAACATTTATATTGCGAAACTGCTAAAGTAATTAACTTCCATACAGCTATAGAAGAGAAATACCTTTACTAAGATTCAAGGACGAGCGTAAATTATATTTTAAGTATGATTTACATTATAATCTAAACTAATTTGTAATTTTTAGTGTATACTATCGTATTTTTATCTTTTAACCTTTTGGACATCCTAAATGTTTTTATTATGGAACTCTATCGCATAAATTCTAGTAATTTTTATTTTACTGAAATAATTTGAATGCAGTTGTCCTAATAAAAACAGCTATACTTTTTAAACTTACAAGATTGACCTGCTAAAATTTAAAATTATTATTATTATAGTATTATTACTATTTTGTTATTGCATGTACTGGATTTTTTCATAGCTACTAAATATTGCAACCAAATTATACATTTTTGCTACAATATAGGCTGAAATTGTTCATATATACAATCTGGAAGCCAAACTGTGTGGAGCTAACTGAAGCCACAAATAATGGTGTGTATTATTTTATACTGCAGTTTATGCTCTTACAAATGTGGTCTATGCCTATACGGGGATTGTTGAAACTAAATTAGTCATGTCTATTTCATTATTTTTTAAAGGATACGAAAATGGATGCTATTTTCAGAGTCATACCACTGAATTGTTTTCCCTTGTTTGAAAAAATACTGCTGTCTATCTATTTGACATTTACAATCATCGCTCCTGGAATTTCAAAACATTCGATCGTCAAACTTCTTTTACTTGTAATGACAAGATGATTTCAAAATTCCAAGAAACTTCTCTTATAAAGAACATTGAATCAAGTTGTTTGAGACAATACCAAAATGAAACTTGGGATAATATATATGTGGTGTCCTTCAATTTCTTTTTCTCTTTTTGGGGTATGATCTATGGACAGTCTGTGAGCAATCGACTTAAAAACTTTGATAAGTTCTTGTCAGAAAGAAGCAGTGAAGTCAGAAAGGTTGCATCTAGTTCTTGGGCATTCTATTATTACATCATTTATTTGACTGTACGCGTGATCGGGTTGTCTATATTTGTTACAGTACTGTTTCCATGCATGTTTCCCATTGACTATTCTTGTTCGTGGCGTCCAACAACAAACGAAAACTCTTCGTTCAACAGTATAATTCTTCCTCCATATAACAAAACTTTCCTTAATTGTGAAATTCGCGATGGTAACAGTGAATGGTGGATTAAATTTGTTGTAGCTGTTGATGTTTTATCGATAATAATGACGATATGTCAGCTAATATACCTATTAAATAAGGCCAGTAGTGACAATTTTTTCACATCAGATAAGGAGTTTTTCACGGTATACATACTCCAAAAACGTGCAGAATTTCGAAATGGATAAAAGAAATAAAAATAAACTTCACTTGAACAAATTATTTAATATCCACGATAACGTAGGCAATGCACAAATGTCTGTGCAAAATCTTAAAGATATTTATGTCAACGTCATAATGCAAGCAGAAAGACAATTAAGTAAAGCTTACCCAGAAACGCATGAAAGACACGAGATCCTTCATTGTCATTTCAAACCTAATGAAAGTGCGAAAAACTCACAAGAGCAACTGACATTTTTAAGTCAATTCCAAATAGCAAGTCGTATCCTAGCTCCATTTTAGTCATCGGAAGGCCAGGAATTGGTAAAACTATGTTGACGAAAAAACTTATTCATGAATGGAAGACAAATGAAGACGACTTTTGGCGCGATAAGCTGGTCATTTTATTGCAATGTCGTGCGATTAAAGAGAAGTACATTACTTTTGAAAAATGTTAAAGAGTTGCGTTGGATTTTCATTTGAACAGTTTTCAGATATTTACGAATTTATAATGTTAAATCCTGAAAGAACTGTTCTTATCGTCGACGGTCTTGATGAATTGCCTTTAGATAATGGAGATCTTCGAACTGACGACTCAGGGTCCCCTAATGAAAAAAGGCACGTCATTACACACTTAAGTATGCTAGTTGAAGGTAAACTATTGCCTGATGTTACTGTTCTTATTACATCACGACCCACAGCTGAACATAAATTTCGAGATATGGAATTCGCGAGGACAGTTGAAATCTTGGGCTTTTTTGAGGATGAGATAAAAGAATTCGTGGAAAAGTTTTGTCATGAAGATAGGAATATTGCTGACCGTATTCTAAATAAGATTGAAATTTCTCTTGAACTTCGCAGCTTTTGTTACATCCCTATTAACACTAAAATTGTTTGTATGACCTTAAAGGAATGTTTTGCAGATGATGAAAACTATAGTCCAAAGACTATCACTGAATTGTACGATAGAGCAATTAAAGTATTACTATGGCAAAGCCATCCCCTTCTCAGGGGCAAGACTACAGAAAAGGATTACTTGAGAATTCCTTTACCATCCGAGCTTGATAAAGATCTACAAGAAATAAAATATGTTGCCATGGAAGGGCTTAAAGACGGACGCCTGATTTTTGAAAGAAAAAGTAACAGTAACTTTAAAAATCTGGAAAACTGTGGCATTTTCAATAAGATTTATGATGATGAGCGCCATCTTTACTGTTTTCTTCATTTGACTCTTCAAGAGTTTTTAGCAGCGTGGTATATTGTTGACGATTGGCAAAACATTGGAAAGTTTTTGGATGATCATGCTAAAGATCCTAAATGGTATTTAGTAATCGAATTTGCTGCTGGTTTGGTTGGAAATGAAAAGAAAAAGGAGAAGGGAAAAGATATCAGCGTTATTCTAGAGAGGTATTAAATTTATGATCGATGAGCATTTGTATCATTGAAAATGTTTGATTGTATCTTCGTATTGTATGTGACTAGATGTATTTTTTCTAAATGAATTCATCATTACCAAATTTTTAACATTAATTTTGCCAGCCAGATGAGCAAACATTAAAGTAACGCCTCCTCAATAAGTTTTAAACTAAAGTGTCGCGTAGAGTTTGGAAGAAATTATTTCTTTTGATCGTTTGTTGTATACTTCAGAACATGGTTTTTACATGTTTGCGGATGTAGACCACTGTAGATCACTGAGTTGTTGCACTTCATTAGAGTATTTGGATGCACTGGGAAGTTATTTAAACAGCAAATAAAAGACTTCACCATAATGCACACTAAGATACATAGATATAAAGCCCATAAAATAAACCTTATGTTCAAACATTAAGTGAAAAAATCTGCTAATGAGAAAACAAATCTAGTGGATTCTCCAAACACTACGTTCCAAAAGTGTAGGACTATTTTTGAAATAGTTTCAAAATGAGCAACAGCAACAAGCAAACAGCTGTAAGCTATAACTTAAAGCACAAATTTTGAATTTAAGGTTTTTACCTTGATTTTCATTAAAAAATTGCTTGCCGAATCCGAAATACAAATATACATTTTGTGTATTTGGGAGTGGAAAATTGCGGAATTTTCAAAAAAGCTGTCAATTTCGGTAAATCTCAGCGGCATAGGACAAAATCCTCCATTTTGTTGACGTCATACAATAATTAAAGCCGCTCTTGAGATAGCCGCTCCAGTTATTATAGAACTCAATGGAGTTAGCATTCCAGATATATTTACTTCAATGGGCTGAGTTAAAGCTTACCCGTGCCTTCAACTTGAGTTCTATAAGACCTGGAGGGGCAAAGGGGCCTGGACCCCGTGGTCAAAAACATGGCGGTAATGGCGGATTTTGTTGGTCAAAACTTCCACTTTAAAATTTTTTTTCAATATTCACTCCCTCCTGATTTCCAATACTGTTTATATGAACGAAAACAAGTGAGAAAAAAAAATAATTACGATACCGACAGCATACCAATTTAAAATAATGCTTCAGCATTGCGTGAAAAACACAGTACACACACACATCAAAATAAAGAAAATCGACGCTAGAGAAACGCATATTTTGGCTGTAACATTTAAGTTATTTTATGACATTTTAACCTTTTAAAAGTGAAAATCAAACGGCATTCATTAGTGGACCTGTCAATCTCGTCAAACTTATACTTTATTTCATGCTTTTGTGTGTTTGACTGTTTGTAAACAGTTTGGTGCAACTATTTTTCTTGCTCAAATGAAAAAATCTGTGTTAAAATGCTCCTAAGGAAGCAAGAAAATGTTTGCTTCAGTCCTACGACATAAGTCAACTGAAATTTACCATGGATAAGTATCATAAGTGTATTGTCATTACCTGATAAATCTACTGAAAACTCATAAAGAAAGTATGTTGAACTAGAAGAGCTACAAAAAGAAAAAATTCAAAACACCATTATTATGTTGGTTGGAAATTTGTATTTTGTAAACTGCTTGGCAGAACCTTGGGTCTATTACTGAACAGAACTACATTAATTTTCCATTGAAATTACAAATTTGGAAACTGAAGTGCATTGGTTTCTCTGACAAAACACTCTGTCTATTGCTGCATGAAGGCAAAATAATTAATTGACAGTGTAGGCGAAGAAATTTATCAAGTTCTATAGATATTATTGTGTATTACTTACAGTCTTTTGGAATTGTGTAATGTATGTCAAAAACAAGATATAATTTTTCAAAATGCTAACCCTTTTAAGCACTACTACTCTTCTGTTTTAGCTTTGAACAAGGCAGACCAATACTTTATGTATATGAACTTAGGCTAACAATGTTGCATGTAGCGTGACTTTTCTAGGGTTGGTCAGAACATCACCCCTTTAAAATTTTAAAATTGATTGCGAAAACGCTATTTCCTGCGTTTTACAAATAGTCTTCTAAAATGTTTATTGTGGAAAGAACTAACATAATTGCTCATAAATTATCGATTTTTGACCGTTTCGCTCAATATCAGAGCTCATCAGCATGCCTAGGAAACTCGCCAAAAATATGCTTTTGAGGGTTTTCGACATGGATAACCTGGTTCATTACAAACTTAGCCTAAAAAAAATTCTTTACCTTCATCAATATGGAGTTTTCATTTTATAATGGTCTAGTCATACCAATATGCTGATTATTATGCAAACGATTTTATGTCAATTTATCAAATGAAGTTGTCCAATAAAAGCAAAAAAATGTTTGTAGATTTCGATCGTCCAGGTAAGTAAAGTCCTGAGAACGATTGTTTTATTGTTTATATTGACTGAGGTTAGCGGCAGTCATCTTTACAGTCAAGAGTTTGAAGTACAGGTTCTGTTATGAAGTAAAATTACAAATATTTTGCTTTTATGGCTGCTCCGTGGCGCTGTAAAGGCCCATTTTAGTTCATACATGACAGCACAGATATAATTTGTTTTTTTAATGAAAGTTTTTGGCGAATTAACTAATTAAAACATGCCTAAATGAATTTTGACCTCTCTAACCTCTTCCAGTCAACTATCACGCTGCCAACGCTACTGAACTGTTGTTCTGACAAGCAGCAAGGAGTTTTTACTTTCATGTAATATTAATTTGCACTTGGCTTTGGTAAACATTGTGTGCATTGTCTGACTTATTTTAATTTGCTACCAAAAGATTGTAGCTAGCTATTGTTACCATAGTTGTTTTACAAGAACTTCTTATTTTAAGATGCTTTTCTGAAAGACTTTATCATTTTGAATAAATTAAACCAAACTTTTAAAAGTTTCACATTACGATATTTTTATAATTACAGGTTAGAAAGTTGGATCTCACATTTATTTTTCTCAGAGGGTAATAAAGCACTTGGTTTTCTTGGAATGAAGTGCTTATACGAATTACGAGACGACGATGAGATGAGATCAATTTGCGAGTCAAATAATTTTTCTGAAACAATATCCATTGACAGCGTTTCTTTCACGCCTCTTGATTCAAACGCCTTCTTTGAATTTCTCTCTGAATGCCGACAAATAAGAAAACTCGCGTTTTTTTCATGCCAATTTCCTGATAATCATAGCGTCATTAGATTGTCAAAATATTTCACAAATGCAACAGCATGCAATGTATTTTCTTTAAAAATAAACTCCTGTTCTGTTAAAAATATATCAAAACATCTTAGTGAAGCTTTAAAAAGTGAAAATTGTAAACTTAGTGAATTGGAAATTAGAAAAAACAATATAGGTGAAGAAGGTGCTAAATATCTTAGTAAAGCTTTAAAAAGTAAGAATTCTAAACTTACTAAATTGATTATCAATAGCAACAACATGGGAGATAAATGTGCAAAATATTTTAGCGAAGCTTTGACAAGTGAGAATTGTAAACTTACTGGATTGTCTCTTAGTCATAACAAAATAGCAGCTGGAGGTGCAAAGTATCTTAGTGAAGCTTTAAAAAGTGAGACTTGTAAACTTACTAAATTGTCTCTTGATTATAACAATATAGGTGATGGAGGTGCAAAATCTCTTAGTGAAGCTTTTAGAATTGTAATGTAAACTTACTAAATTAATTATCAATGGTAACAAGATATAGATGATGAGGTGCAAACTATCTTAGTGAAGCTTTAAAA